ACTTTTTAATCCTTCTTCTGTTTCTATTAAACTGTCCGTTTTGATTCGAAAGTTGCCAATATCAGTCTAAAGCAATAGTACTCAAACTTTTCTTTACTTATCAAATAAATCGAAATAAAAAACCTATAAAATTATTCTTTTTTATTTTAAATTAAGAAAAAAGTTACTTTCTATGAAATATTCTATATGGAATAACATCAATTATATGTTTAATTAATTGTTCTTTTTGTTGTTATTTAAATGATGTTGGACGAAGATATTGGACAGTTTTACGTTGATTTATATTTGATAATTCTTCGAATTAATAGTAAGAAATACACTTTAGAGGGAAGCCACATATCGAGAGATTTTTTTTTTGAAGACTCTTATTTTTGTCATTTGAAGTAATAAAAAGAGATAGACATTTTAGTATAATTTGTTTCTACGGTGCAAGTCGGACTTCCGAGATCAGCATTGGTGGATAGCGACACGAACGCAATAATGGCTTATTTGAATCATATAGGAACTTTTCATCGAGAAGGTTGCTCTTAACCTCACCTAGTGCTGTGCGTACAAATCATATATCTCCTGTGTTTAAAGTAAACTAATAGTACCAAAAAGTCAAATGACATTTTATTGTTCTCATCATAGTGTAAAATGACGCTCTGTTTATTTAAACAAAGCATCCCAATTTTGAGAAGTTCAGGTTTTTGACAAACAAATTTTCAGTATTGATTCTAAAGTCATTACTGTACAAACGATCTTTTGACTCGTCGATCTCGTGCCATCTTCTCTGATATCTTGTAGACATCAAGACTACAGTTTCACTTTTATTTTAAAAAAGTTCTCTTATTTTTTATTTTACCTTAAATTTATAGTTAAAGTGTTACGCCTAATGAAGACACTCTTGGCACTTACTTATATAAGGTCCAATAGAAAATACACAACTTTAAATCTTTAATAAGATCGGATGAAGAATTTTTTTATCTAATATTACATAGGCGAGATAAAAGAAACAAAACAATCATGGACAATAATTTACCATAAACATGTAAGATATATTTTCTATACAGAATACTGATTGTGGATGAGGCCAATGTGTCTAAAGTAAAATTCTACCGACTTTTTATTTCGATCAAGAATTATTGTCGATGATATTGCTCGCACACATTCAATTAAAGATATTCTGTGATGTCTAATAGTTTAGTATTTATTGGATCATTTCAATCTGATTGAAAATAGAAAATATTCAAAAGTCAGAAATCTAGTTGATGTTTTATTTCAAAGACAAATGAATATAATTTGCTTACTATTTGACTTGATAATTAATATTTGTATTTCAATGAATAAAAGATTTATCTAATAGAGAATACTTCCTATTCCCAAAAGTTACACATTCCTGCATCGCCTTTTGACACGCAATCATTTACCATCAATTCCGGAAAAGCAAAAACGACCCTATGCAGCAATTCCGGGTGATTCCTGCATATTGCGAAATTACAAACATGTCATGGATGCCTAAATGATCATTTCTCCCCCTTCAAGAAATGCAAAGCGGAATTCCGGAATTTGTGCACATCCGTCATGATAAGGATATGCAGGAATTGTGGGTCATTCCTGCCTATTCAGGGTCATTCCTGCATGTTCCAGCTCATTCCAGCCTATTCCGGGTCATTCCNTCACATCTCCACGTATAAGCACGTCTTATATGGCTTTACAGTAGTATTTCAATGATTCGTTCAAAAAAAAAAATAAAAACAAAAGATACACCATTACACACAATTTAAAAAGAGAGAAAACAGAAGAGAAAGACATTCACCGGCGACTTTTTTCGTCAAATAATGTTGTTGTGTGTGAATGTGGAGTGCCAATGTGGTACATATGGTTGGAACGAAACTGGAAAATTGGTCAGGCAACTTTGGACTTTGAAAACCAGCCAATTTTTCACCATCTTTTTTTGCTGGTTTTTCAAACATTCTTTAGAGTACTGCAGCTAGTGTATTTTGCTCCTTTTTATGAATTTTTATTGTTTTAACGGTCTAGATATTTAAGCGCGAAAGTTTTCAAGTGAGAAATTTTGTAGCTGTCATCAAGTTCACAGCTGAACACTTTGAACTCACGCTTTCTCATGCTACATTATGTGTCTCAGATCATGCTGAATGTGTTGATTATGATCACGAAAAGTTACTTTATAGAGTTATTAATACGTTTCAGGTAAAAAAGAACATTCGAGGGACATTCTCATCAACAAGTAGCATGAAATAAATGTATGTTGTTGTCAAAGAAAATTTTCGGTATTTCTCAGCGTCTGAATCGGACTTCAGAGCTAAAATGTTTCGTCCTACAGTGCTTTAACCCACATTTGCACACCTACGCTAACATTCACTTTCCCACTTTAGTACTTTCACGTAAGTTAAAGTGCTTTGATACAATTTCAAAGCACTTGAGCATAATTCTAAATAGTTCGGCGTCATTTTAAAGAACTTCGGTGTACTTTAAGTTGCTTCTAAATACATAGAAATACTTCTAGATACTCTCAACCACTTTTGTATGCTTAGATTTACTTTTTGACTGGAAGCACTCTGTTTCCTCCTATTTGAAGTGCCATTTCCTACAGTCTTTGTGATGCGCTGCGAGGTGATCTACAAAATGATATGAGACATCGTTTTTCAACAGAGGTCACTAAATCCAATATTGTCCTTTATGCGATTTCGCTCCAAATACATTTTGCGACGGCATCTTGTCTGTATGCAATAACCTCTTAAGACAACTTGAATTAACGACAGAATGCTTCGAAAATCACATCAATGAATGAATTACAGATATATTAGACTATTTTATTGCTTATTTTTGAAAGAGACAACAAAAATCTATACCATTAAAATAATCTAAATGAACATTCGTTTTAAAAGTGTTCAACCTTCGACAAAGAACCTACATGAGATGTATAATGCCCCAGAAATAAAAGCCGAAAACGGTAAGTAGTAAACTGATCAGTACTTGATTATTACATACATTCTCGTGTAAGTAGACAGCAATGGGTGGAATGAAGATAGCGAGAATAATAAGATAGCAGTCGACCATTGTGTTATGATTGCAGGCAGAACTCAACAATAAGCTTTTGTTCTTGCTTGTTTTGATCACATTGAATAAAAAATAATTGTGGACAACGAAAAAGTCTTTCGAAATATATAGTAGACACTGATTGAGCTAATGTTTTATATCAAGAACAAATGCATACTTCGAATAAAATCTAGGACAGAAGGACTTTTATCAGAAAGCAAAAAGAACAAAGAATCTTGTTGACTTTTCAAGATTCGTCAGTACTATAATTATCACTTTTGATAAGGGAAACTGATAAGACGTGTCACCAATGAAAACGAAAAAAGTATTATCACATATCAATGAGCTTCTGTCAAACAGCATCTATTTCTAAACGATATGGCAGTCTATGTAACACTGACATAATTTGAATTCATATTCAGTGACGTTTCCGAAGCTATTGTTAGCATCGAGCAAAATTAAAGCGGGGTTTGGGAATAGCCAGCTATCGACAAATAAAATGCTCATTTAGCCTTTACTACTTTCTTTTGTTTCGTTTTTTTATCACATTTAGCTACTTACTATTTCGCCGTTAGTCGACAAGTATTTTGCGTTTTTAGAATGAATTTCTGAGGTACAGAGCCAGGCAAACAAATATGCTACTTTCGAGCTAAAAGACATTGAATCAATTTCTGAATTACTTTCTATGTAGTTCGTGATCGTCATGACTTTTTTAGATAGAAAAGAATGTACTGAACAAAAATGCACAACAAATTTTCCACAATAATTAGTAGAAAAACATGGGAAATTCGTAATTAAGAGTCGCGAAAAACATTCCAAAAAGTTCATGGAAAATAATGCCATTCAGAGGCAGCCAGTTCCTTAGGGTATGGATGTGGATATGTTTGTGTATCAGTGTCTTCTGTGTTCATCGAAAGGCCAACATTCGTATAAACATCTACACCCTTACCACGCACATTCATAATCAGACCAACTTTCACCCAAAGCACCCTAGACCTACACATATACCACCGACATCCATACATCCCACACTCACATCATCTACATCTAGAGCCACAGTGCCTTTTTTTTTCATTTATACTGATCACTTTAATGAATCCAATGATATGGAAACAAAATAGTTATTGAAAGTTTAAGAGAATGATTGAATTAACAGAAACAGAAAAGAAAAAAGAATCATATTGCAGGTACGTGGCGGTGCCATAATGTCATGCGGAGAAGCGTCTTTGTGTGCAAGTGACGTGCACGAAAAAGTCATGCGTGGAAGTGTTGTTTCACGTTGAAAATGTGTTTTGAATCCTAAACTGAACAGAAAATGCATGTAAAAATATATAGAATGGTTTGCTATCGAAGAAAAGTGTTTTTTATCTATAGAGTACGGCTTTAAAGTTATGTCTATAACACTTATAGGCAATTTTTTCTTTCACTTGTAACCTAGGTTTAGAGTAACCATACTCTGATGAAGTGAATCTCTTCTACACCATCATGTTTCCACCGAATGAAAGTAAGGAAAGTTCCATTTCTTCCTGCTTTTGTATTCAAAATAATAAAAATCCATCTAAATTTTGTTCGCTTTAATTATGTGAAAATATAGTTTGTCATCTATAAATTTGGTCTTTGATCGAAATAGATAACTGTAATTTAATGATTACTGTTTCTTATAGTGACATCTTCATCATTTCTTCAATAATCTTTATTTATTGATTATGCCAATGATGAAAATCAACTCATCGAAACCAATACAGATTAGCAGCAATAATATCGATATAATCTACAGTTCTGTTTCATTACCCAGGAAACAGTTGAAATAGCATGGATCATGTCCATTTACAAAATTCTTTTCAAGTTTAAGATCGGAAAGAAAAACAAGAGAGCAGCAAAAACTAACCTACAATTTTTGATGAAGAGAGATTCATTATTGCTATTTTTCAATTGTCTCTGTTGTTTCTACGACAAACATGGCATCCATTGGTTCAAGTAGGCACAATATTCTAACTATTCAGAAACTTATATTGTTTCTCAAAATAATCTAGTCAAATCGCTTACAGCTGCAGATAAACTTCTCGACCTTCTTGCACAATTAGATAATGTTGGTTCTCCTTCACCACCTTCTCATTGTTCAAGTTCATCTAAAGTACTAATCAGTCAATAAATCATTAACATTGACGAATCGAATCATGCTTATCTAGGTATCTAGTGATGCACCGAAATCAAGTGAACTCTATTTTCTTGTACAAGCAGCTGATCAGTTAAGCCATTGGCTTAAAGATGAAAATGATGGATTACGTGTAAGTATTCGAACATGAAGAAAGTATACTTTCGTATGCGAATGGAAGAAATATTACCACATTTTATTCTATTATTATGTATTTTTTGACATAGGATGATAATACAAAACTTCGATTAAATGTCATTACTTTAATTGAAGAAAATAATCGATTACATGAGGAAATTCAAAGTACATTTGTATCCAGTATGCTTCGTTTAATTAGCATAGATGATGAACGACCGATGACAGATAAAGAAGTATGATTATGAAGAAAAGATGATCTTTGTTCATTTTATTTTTTATTATTTTAAAGTCACAAATAGTCGATCTTTATACAAAAAAGATACGTAGTCTAGAAGTTGAATTGAACGATACTAAGTATAAATATTTATTTTGAATAAAAGCAATTAATATAATTTATTGTAATTCTAGAGAAAAATTAAATATGTATGAAACTTCTTGGCATACACCAAATGATCAAATGAATTGTCTCACATGTGGAGCTCTTCTTCCATTTCGTCAACATGTTAATGAACATGAGGAAAAATTTGCTAACACTATCATGTAAAATTTTCAAAAGTAAAATGTCGACATATGAATATATATTTATTCATAGAGAAAGTGAAACTAATAAACGCAAATTACAACAAATTCAAGTAAACCTTGAACAAATTGAAGCTAAAGAACAACAAACATTAACTAAATTACAAGGATCTCTTGCCATGGTTGAGCAAAATAAATTTGAAAAAGCAGAAGTAAATTGTTTATTATTAAATCTTCCCTGTTTTTTTTCCTAGCTTTTCTTATTATCAACTAGGCTATTGTTGAACGTGATCAAATTAAAATCGAACTTGTTGAAACTCAAAAGAGACTAAAAAAATTCATAGATGAAATGGATGAAAAAATTACTAAAGAAAAACAAAATATTGAAGCAATATATCAAGATCGATCAAAAGAAAATGCTGAAAAAGTAGCTAATTGAGAAATAAAACCCGAAAGAAACGCATTGTCATATATATTCAGATAAGACAAATCGAAGAAAAATGTACACAATATGAATTAACAATTGATCGATTAACTCGAGAAAAAATTTCATTAACAGCTGATATAGATGTATGGAAGGAAAATTTTCAACGACAAGAAATTGATTTAAGTCAAGTGAATGATTTTACATTAGTCCTATGTCTAATATTAATACAACGAATTGTTTTTCTTTTTCAGACGACAGATTCTATTAAACTTACAATTCAAAAAGCAATGCGTGAACGTGATCAAGCTAATAGTAATACAATGCAAATTCGATCAGACTTTGAGAAATTACTATTACAAAGTAATCAGGTAAAAATAATGATAGAAAAAAAGGGAAAAAGAAAAATATTGCTCTATTAGGATTTACTTCAACTTCGTCATCAACTTGGTTCAACACAAAATCGTCTTAATGATACTGAAAGTGAATTACTTCAATCCAAAAAACAATGTCTGGATTTAACAGAAGAAATAAATCGTCTAACACGAGTGGTAAAAAAGAAGCTGCTGTCTTCTTCTGAAGAAAAAGCCTTCTTAGCTGCTCCCTTCCGATTACAATGATTTTTTTGTCTATAGATACTGCATAATGTTCTAGTAACGACACTAAAAGGATTTCGACTCCCTTTGATATTTGACTAAGCTATCAAATTTTCAATATGGTTGCTTTCCAGAAGCTCCAGATTTTCGAAAAACTTGTCTTTCCATATTTTGATCTGAAACTTTGCGCATATATGAAACTCAACTAGACTAGCTGTCATAAAAAAAATTCAGCAGCCTTGAATAAAGTCTCTTCGAGATATGGACTCTTGTCCATGAATAGTGTATGAAACATGACTTTTTTGAAAGCTTCACATCTCGAAGAGACTTAACTCAACGCTTCTATGTTTTTCATGCAAGCTGGTCTACTTAACTTCCCTTCATATGTAAAATTTTATATTCAAATTAAAAAATGCAAGTTTGCCGAAAACCGGGAGTCCTACAGAAACTTCTAGAATATAGACATATTTAAAAATCGATAGATTAGTCAATTATTAAAGGGAGTCGAATTCTTTAAGGAACTTTTATTATAATACTAGATAGTATCTATAGAAAAAAAAAACTTGAAATCAGAAGGTGGACAGCAGAAGAGATTCTCTAATTAATTCAAAAACTTTTGCTTTTTCTATAAAATTGTTTATTACGTATTTCTTGATCTCAAGTAAATAAAAGGAAATAATTCTATCTCATAGGTATGTAACAAGAATGGTGTATATCAAAAAAGGCATATATAACTTTTGACGTTCTTGAAATTACGCACTATTTGAAGAGCATCCGATTCAATGCTATATTTTATAGAGATTTAAAGAACTCGTCTTTCGCTCCATTTACAACTATTCCCCATTATAAATTAAACCTGATTGCTTCTATGATATTTGATAAACTTTATACAGTCTCTGAAGTCCGCTATATTCTTGCTACGACAAGGATCTACTGTAAAATACGTTCTTCTTTCTTTAGAACATTATGTTACAAAATGTTAAACAAGGTCTTGAACGATCACGTGAAGAAAATATGAATGCAATTCTTGTTATATTGAATAAAAATGAACACGATTATCGAACAATAATTGAAAATCTTGAACTCGAACGACATCAATCATTATTTTATCTTGAAAATCTTGTTCATAATCAAAATACAATATTAAATAAATTACGTTTATATTCAAGACAATTAACAAATGAAATTGAAATAATACTTGAACAAAAAACTGAAATTATTCAAGAAATAACAATTGAAAATCAAGAATTACGTATGAAATTATTAAATGCATATGAACGTCTTGAACAAATAGATACACAATTATTACAGCATAATGATACACATATTAAATTACAACAACGAATTATTGATTTAAATAATCAAGTTAAAACCCATGAAAATATTGTATGTAAATTTTAATTATTATAAAATATGATTGATTGAAACCTATTGTTTCAGATTAATAAAATTAAAGTACAAGATTTAATTGATTATTAACAAAGATTGACGCTTATATCCCAGTGAAATTAATTTTTATTTTTTATTGAAATGTGAATTATATTTTTCATAAAATAAAAAGATAGACTATAAATAAATAAATAAATATATACTTGTGAGCAACCCATCGAGGAAGCATATGAAATATCTAACGTGTAAAAAAATACCGGAATTTAATAACCAAAAAAAAACTTAATATTTTATCCAATGTTATCGTCTGTGGTTTGAGAGCCTGGCGATTGTGTTTCTCGGTTGAGATCAATAGTAAAAGCAACTGGTGTTCGAGCACGATGTCGTCGTCGAACATTATAAAGCTCTCGAACAATTACTGTATCACGTGGTTTTTGAGCACCGGACTGTGGTAAATTTGGTAAACTAGGTTGATCAAGTACAAATGTGTCACGTCGCTGTAAACTGTTTGCTAAAGATTGTTGTTCTTGAATCGATGCAATAGTAGGAGCTCGACCTCTTCCTCTCGCAGCACCACCACCACCTCCTCCTCTTCCACCGCTGCCTTCACCACTACCACCAAAGATTGGTCGATCATCTCCTTCGAGTGATCGCGCTGCAGTTGTGCTCGTTACATAATTACGCCGTGGTGATGGTTCTGGTGGTGCAACTGTGGATTGCTGAGCTTGTCGAGAATTACTTGCTGCAAATGGATTTCGACCAAAGATAGACGTTGACTGAACATTAGATGTAGGACGACGAGTCGATTGTGGATTCCATGAAGCTGTATAGGATGAGGCATTACTTCGAGCAGGTACTGTTAAACTAAGATCAGCGAATGGATTATCAATATTTCGCGGAGTATCAGTTTGCGTAGGACGATAAGCAATAGTTTGAGATAGTAAATGAGCTTGTGATGCTGTAGAATCACGTGAATAATAAAGATTTTCCAAATGTCGATCTAAAGAATGCAATAGCAAAATCAGCAATCAATTGCTTCTATTCAAAGACTTGCATTGATCATTTTGAGATTGTGCTTGAATATTTAATGGATTTCGTGGTGGTGTTGCATATTGTGTTGCAGTATACGGATATGGTGCTGAAGAAAATCGTGGTTGTTGTTGGAATTGAATAGCTTGATTTGTTGAAGTGCGTGATTGTTGTTGCTGTTGTTGTTGTCCTTGAGACCCATCAAGCAATTGACCGAAATTTTGTATAGCGGAAGAAATAGCTGCTTGGTCATTAGACGTAAATTGTAACTGGATAATTTTGTCAAATAATAGATAGATATATTTGAAATCATGCATATAACCTTATTCATTACCTGCTCACCTTCTGAACATCAGATGGTATTTGTGCTTGCAAGGCATCAATTTGTTGCGCATAACGATTGGATTGTGTTCGCATATTTGCTAAATCTACATCAGTAATTAATTGTCCACTTTTTAAAATAAATAAATCAAATCATAAATAGTTCAAATAAAATTGTTATATTCTTTTTACTTTGGAAATGATGTCCCTACTGATTCACAAAAACTTGCTGTACTTGCTAATTCAATTTCAGCAGCTTCTTGTTGTATACGAAATGTTCTAAAAACAAGAAATTTTTGTAGAACATGTACAATAAATATTAATAATTTTTCTATACCTCAATTGTGATTGCATATAAACTTCAGCTTCAGTAAGTAATGCTGTTTCACGATGTTTTAAGTCATCAATTAAAGTAGCTATAGTTGATGTTATTTCTCGTCGAATTTGTTCATAATTATTTTTAACACTATTAACTCGTTGTTCATAGGATGAAATTTTATCGCTTAATCTTGGTAATGTACGACGAAGTTGACTAACTGATGAACTTATATTATAAAATATTTCACGTAAATGTGGTTCACGACAATCGCTACAGAAGAAATTTGAACAATCATGACATTTGATTAGAGCTAAAAATAATTAATACAATACATATAGGTTTGTTTTTGAGATAGAGATTATTTTCTAATTTATCATACTTTGTTTTTGTTCTTTACAATGAGAACATCGATCAGGAAGATTGATAATTGTTGATGGTGGAAGATCAAGAAATCCAATCATTGTTAAATTAGAAGGAAAAGCTTGAACTCCACCTGATAATAAAATTTTAATTAAAATGACATAGAAAAATCTTTCTATCAAACCTGGTGGAATTTGATGTTCTCGACGACATTCAGGACAACGTAATGAACGTGCTCGTGGATCAACTAAATTTGTTAAACATGGTGTTAAACAAAATGTATGCATACATGGTAAAACTTTTGGAATACGAAATTTGTCCAAACAGATAGGACATGTTGTCAAACGTTCCATTCGATTTGAATTATTCCCACGAGCAGTAGCCATTTATCAGTTTTTTTTTAAGCGTCTATTTTCTTTTAGATGACTCGAATCATTTTTCAATAACAGAAATATGAGAATAATATAACACCATATTTTGTACTGTGCAGTGTCGTTGACAATCATCCTCATAATGTTATGAACAAGATGTCGCAATCTATTGGAGTTTTTCATAATCATAACTTTTTTATACTTCATTTCGAACATGTGTATATTCTGATTCGATGAAAAGAATAGTAGAAATAATTATGCAGCAGCAAAACCAAACATACATAATTGCTCTCAAGAAGTTTTCGCAAATATTGTTACCACTTAACATATTGATTTTACATTTGTCGAATAGAAAATGTGTATTATAATTGAATAGGAAGTTTTGAATATATTGAAATTAGCACAAAGAAAATCTCAATTAATATTTATTATTTCTCAAAAGTTGATTTGTAATCAAAATTAGAAATCCTAATATAATTATTGAATAGCAAATATTCAATTGAAAAATCTTTCACAATGAAATAAATTTATTCTTTAAGAATAGTCTCTGAGAAAAAAAAACATTGCATGATGTCATTTTTTTGACTCGTTTATTCTACTGAAAAAGTCATTGGTGAACTTAACGTTACTTGATAAACTATTTATGCCATTTGAGAATAACACCTTCATAGAGATGAACTCCAACTTTGTATTTTGAGAGAGAAATTCGACCAATTTGAATGGTAAGTCGTATTAATAATACCTGCTATTGTATAAATCTCTGCCCGAAATAGAAGATGCCGGATCTTCTATTATGTCCAAACGTGCACATTTCTCACGGAGTCTTTTATTGTGTCTCATTTATCTTCATGATTTCTAGTTGAAAGTCTTTTTGACAAACCAAAACGATATTGAAGATTTGGGAAGATATTTTCAGGATGTTAAACGTTCAAAAATAATGTTGACCTTAGTCTTTTAAGATTTTTCAGTTCAAAACCATGAAAACTAGACATATTTTGATCTAAATATAGTAATTAAAGTTTCGATTTTGCGAAAAAGTCATCTATTATGTCTGACGGATCGTTCATTCAAATGATGTCTTCTATTGTGAGGGTATCGGTTACTAAAAATTCCTGATTACATGTTTCACCCTTTGTATATATGGTGTTATAAATTAGAACCCAAGTGAATAGCAACCTGAACTTTTGTTCTCAAATATACTATAACAGTCATTAGCAAGTAAAATTAAATCAAAATAAATCATTTTCTATCACGATAATTAACAAAAAAAGAAACACTGATACCATAGAAAATAAATTAGGAATTAATATTTCTTGAGTATTCAACACTTCAAAGAAACAGTCTTGACTTTAACTATTTTTTTTTTTCAAAAATATGTGATTGTTCATTATACCTACATTAATAAGTATGAAAACTAAAACATATTTCAACTTAATTTTTAGAATATTTTCTAAAATATTAATTAAAATCTACTTGAATGTTAGTTATATAATAAATTCCTTCTAATAACTTTATAAAATCATTACACATTAAGCATTAAATTGAAAACTCTCTAATCAAGTCGTAACTATTTATCAATATACTAAGTTGAATTTGTAACTGATTCATTCATGTTTGTTCCAGTTGTTGTCATACTTTTGAAATGACAATTGATAGAAGGATTATCCTATTATTTGATACGAATGCAAACAATCGATTGGAAAAAACAACAAACTTTAATCAATGAAGTTTGTTTTAATGAAAATTAATTCCTAAAAACAATGTCAATCATAGAACGTCATTTTTATGAAGAAAGTTCATAAGCATCCTTATGAACATAACTCAATTAATGATTTTAACCATTCAAGCGTCTTAATTTGATTTTATAAACAGCGCATAAATACTGTAGTATTGTGGATTCTTTCAATGTAGCTAGTATTATTATCACATAGTTTCTATTGTTGTTACATGCATCTAATTAGGGAATAGATTATCGTTCTTGTCATTGTGTGCAACAAATCGAGTTTGATACTTGGATGTTCACTGCCATTTTATTGTTTACATATACACATAGAAACGATTCATAGCGGATAATAGTAGAATCCAGAAAACAGAACAACAACGATGAGAGAATCGTTTTCGATTAAAGTATTTATTGAATCATGATATGTTTGTCAAGGGTTCTCAAATGGAATGTCTAGATGCTTGAGGCAAACATGATATTGTGTTGAAACTTGTTTTAAGATTGCCGCAAAATATTTCTTTATATAGGATTTCTCAAAAGTCATGATTACTTAAATAAATATAAATAGCCTTACTACTGTTCAAGTTTAATCAAACTCTTTTTTTTGCTATTTGACTTCGTAGACTGTAAGTTTTAATTCGTTAAGACAACGTTCATCTACAAAATGTAACCCTTCCGGCTACTATTAAAAAATTAGGCTTTTTTTCGATACTATCTAAAATATACACCGGTTTTTTTTTTTTTTAAATATTTACTAGAATTTCTATTGTTATTATACACTTGAGATCATGTAGATCTTTGATTATTCCTTTTTAATCATTTGCTTGACATATGTCAAAACGATAGAAAACTTTTATACCTCTTGCAAACGAATGTGTTGAGCCGTTTTATAACTTGTTTAAACGTCATAATTAACTCTCTTGCTTTCTCTTCGTAAGCATATATCAAAATAAATGTTTAGAATGTTACACTCAACGATTTAAATGATCTGAAGTTCATAATAATCATAGAAATTCAAGTAGATATGGAAGAAAACATTACATATTGTGCATAGCATCGAAAAAAGTCTCATTTATTAATCAGAAATGTGTCGTTTTCTACACTATTGATGAACTTGGTCTTTACGAATTAAAATTGACTAGTCTCCTATTCGAAATAAAAACAAATGGGTTTTGATTAAGCTTGATCAGTAGTCGAATTATCAGTAATTATTAAGTGATTATAACTTTTCGAGACTTCTGTAATTTTATTAAATAAACATAAGCAAGATTAATAGTCATTTTATTTTTGTTATGATTTTTATAATTCATCTAACTATTTATTGACGATTAGAATTGTTATATCAGTATTAATATTAAAAATGACTGTTTTCATAGCACATGTTGATCTCATATTGATTATTTTCAAATGATATTCAAGAATAAAATACTGTTCACATCCTTGATTATAAATACGAACTTAAAATACCACATGATGGACGCAAGCGTGCATTTCTTATTCAATTTGTGTATGCACGTGTGGATATACTCTTCTAGTTTCATTTTATCTTTTTTATTCCTACGAATAATATCGTGGACGTAAAACGATATGTGTAAACGGACATTGTTATAAAGATCGATTCGATCACACATCATTTATCTTCTCAATTTTTACACTTTGTTCTAGTTTATTAGAATTTTTTCTATTTGTATGATTTCATTTTTAACTGATTTATTACATAAATCTTACAACAGAACATGAAATAAGAACGATGGAGAGGAAGAGAGAGAGAAAATAGAACATGAAATGTTCAAAATATGAGATCAGAAAAGAGAAGAGGAATAAGAAGAATGTGTTAGACTATTTTATTTGTTATTGCTACTCATTGTTTGATAGTTAGACGTGAAGAGAATTGCACACTAGTGAATGAATGGCTGAGCAAATGGTGATGGTGGTGGGTAGTAGTAGAAACGCAAAAGATCTAGCATAGTAGTAGAGTAGAGAAGAAGCCGATACCGAAGTCGAAGCCGAAGAAGTAGAAAAAGCAGAAGAAGAACATGAAGATGAAGATGAAGATGAAGATGAAGAAACATCAGCAGGAAAAAAAGAAAAAAAAATAACACACACTAGAAGGACACGCAACCGATTTTTGTGTTGTGCTTGCTGGTCTTTGTTTTTTGAAGGACACAAAAAAAATAGAAATCTATTGCGCGTACTTCGCTGAATACTACTTCTGCCACTATGTATTATAATGTCGTTATTTTTAACAGATTATCAGGTGGTAATTATATGGTTATGATCATTTATTCATGAATTCACCTATTATAATGGTGATTTATAATAACTCACAATTGTGTTGTGTCTATTTTGAATTTATTGCTATAATAAATTTAAAACATATCGTATGTTTAGTCTTGTTATCTCATTATCTTCATATGATTACTCGTTTCATTTGTCGGATCGATCGACATGTCGACGCAGTGTCTCTAGGGAGCACTCGTTGATGTATTCTTATTGACATAAGCATAATAGTTTATTTTTACCACCTAGAACCATTCGAAGATAAGGATGAGAAAGATCGAGTTAGTCTAACCTCAATGTTTAATTCAGTGTGTCTGATAGTATGGCTATAGATGTGCGATGATGACTAATCATTCAGAATTGTTCCTTGAAAATGCACGCATGCTCACATTCAAAATCTTTTGACATAATGATGAGATGCATCTTTTTCTTTTTTTTTACACATGCATAATCGATTAGAACGATGTAAGAACCAGGGAAGCATCAACTTCGTAATTCATACATATAGAATTTTATAAACATGTTTTTATTTTTAGATATGCTTTTAGGTATGATCAATGAGTATGATGACAAATCTATTTATTTGCCTAGATTTATATATGTCGTAGAGGATAGAATAAGATTTGTGCCTATCTTATATTAGAAATGTTGTTAGACAATATAAGGCGATTTTGAATCAACAAAGAAGCTAAGACAGAGAAGGTAGAATAGCGACATATTTTGATCCGTCTTGTGCATCATATTTATTATGAAACATACATTTAATTTTTCTTTGATAGGTTTTCTAAAACTTGAACGGATTCTATGTTCTACTGTTCTGTTTTTGACTGCTCAAGAAAAAGATATATTCTTATGCATACACTGAAATACCCCTTGTTCGTTTGTAGCTGACATTCAGTAAAAAGATATTGTGAAGATGAGCACGAGGTTTCAACCTCTTACGCTGTTATGGTGATTCAAAGTAGAGATAAAGAAAAGAAAAGAAAATTTAACTGCCGTAATTTATCAAGTT